CAGGGCAGCTGCCATCACCCCGGGGATGTCCCTTCCCCGGGGAAACGGGCCGGCCCCCACGGTTGGCAGCACACGGGCCTCCGACCAGGCAGCAGTGACTCCCGGAAGGCTGGTGCCATCCCTGTCCTCAGCGAGAGGTTACCCTTGGGCAGGGGACAGTGCCAAGGGCTCCTCTCCTTCCCTCTCCCCTCACCTGGGCTCCACTTCTCCAGTGACTGAGAGCAGGGTCCCTCCGCGAGGGTCATTCGGGGCATCTCCCAAAAGGCCTCGGGGCGGCGGGCCACTAGCAGGTAGAGGTCCACGCTGCATAGGGGCCCTCGGGTCTGGCATGGGCACTGCCAGGGAGACACACAAGAACTCGTGAGGATCTGCATGACCAGTGCCGTGCCAAGACTGTCCCCGACGCTCTCTGCCGGGTGTGGGGCAGCCACGCTGCTCCCCTGAGCTGTGCTGTCTGCTGGGGATGCAGCCCCACACGTGAGGCTGGAGCACACCAAAGCCCCTTCCCTGGCTGCCAGTTTTATTCCTCTCTTTCTTCTCTGCTTTTATCTCAGGTTCCTTATGGCACCAGGGGCCACACCAAGCATGGGTGTCCCTACAGCAATCCCTACAAGCGCGGGCATCAACACCCTGCTGACGTGGGGCCAGGAGCAAAGCAAGACCTGGAAGGCTCCTGGAAGCACAGTGTCAAAGGGGGCTGGATCTCAGGCAAAAGCCCTTCCAAACAGGCTCTCCTTTTCCACTGGAGGCTCCATGCATGGCTCTAGCCTGTTCTCTCCTGTAGCCCTAGAGGAAATCCTGCCTCCTTCATCTCCTCTTACTGCTGTCAGGCTACAAGGAGTGACATGCCAGTCCCTGGCCCTGAGAACAGCGGGGTGACACTCCACAACGAGCTCCATGGGAAGAGGGAGCTGGCGGCTGCCGGGATACCTTGAACGCGTTCGATAGACGCAGGCCTGGCAGGTCCCACGGGCGAGAGCTGCAGGTTCCCTGGGCAAGCAGCAGGAAAAGAGGGAAAGAGCAGACACGTAAATAGTGTATGCACACATGCACCGACCAGTGCTGGGGACAGTGCTGCCTGCAAGATCACGCCCCCTGATGTCCCCAGGAAAACCTACAGAGAAAACGTTGCAAGTCTGGTTTTATCAACCTCTTCCGTTAACACCACCTTTGTCACCACAGGCAGGACAGCCAGAGTGACACACTCCTTCCCTCACTCAGGGAGAGAGGCAGGGAGAGAAGACATCCTGCCAAGAGACACGGCATTCCTTGGGCCCACGCTGGCCCCGTAACACACACCCAGCTTCTGCTCTCCAAAACCTTTTGGGTGCCAAGAACTATCAGGCAGCTTTCAGGAAGACAGTGCCCACCCCAAAGAAAATGAGAGTCAGCTGCCCCTAAGGCCAAAGGATCTCAGACTAGGTTTGCCATGTAGCTGCAACAAGGCCTAGGATAGAAGTCAAGGCAACAGAGGTGACAGGTGTCTGCATGTGCTGCTCCTGGGAGAACAGGAACACCTGGGTCGAGCTAACCTACGTATGGCAACATGTGAACCATAAGGAATCGGGCCCCAGGGCTGGGCCGTACAGACCGTGCCTGCGGAGGAATGCCGAGCCGTCACCCTCCGCAAAGTCCCTGCCAAGCCTCAAGCCAAAACGGAGACCCAGCTCCCTCTGCCGGGCACGGACAGGAGGACGCGGGGGCCGCACCAGCTGCTTCCCAGCACCCCGGCAGCAAAGGAGCAGGACAAGGACCGGAGAAGAGCAAGCTCTGCCTGCCCGCACAAGCACAGGGACAGACGTGGGCTCGCAAAGGTGGAAAACACAGGCACGTCCCCCCTGGGAACAGGCAGCTCTCCTGGCTTCCAGGGCACGACTGCACAACGGGGCGCAGAACGAGCTGGGAGCCAATCGGGGCACGGGCCGAGCCCTGGCAACCAGGGAGCTGCAAGCACAGCCCTGTGCCTCAGTGAACAAACCCAGGCACTGGGCTGGGCACAGCCAGGCTGCAGACAGCTGGGGCACAGCGCTGCTCGCTGGAGCGAGGCTCACACCACACACAGCTCTACACACGTCTGTTTTACCTTGTCCGCGCTCCAAGGGGACGGGCCCCGCACCCGGCATCCCAACCTGTGGCTGCATCCCACCTGAGAGGGGACAGGCAGAGATCAGACCCCTCTTCAGCCACCCCTGATGACTAACCCCTTCCTTTGGCCCCAAATACCTTCTCGCTCCCAGCTCCTGAGGGAGCATCTGGAGGTTTATTCCCTTGGTGTTGGTTCCCCCCAGGGGTAATCCAACTTTGCAGGCCACCTCTGGCAGCAGCACAACCACAATGTACAGTACAGGATTACATGTGCTCTCACAGGGCCGAGCCCTCTGGCTGGGGGCAGAGGGGGGTGTCTGCAGGACCTGTGTGCTCACGGGTGGGGCAGCTTGGCCCAAACTCACCTCCTGGAGCCATGGGGCCAGGGCCTGGGCCCTGCACAGGGGCTGCCATCTGTCCTGGGGCTGGCACTCCCCCCTGCATGGGTGGCTGCATCAGAGGAGGAGCGCCATTGACGTGCATCCCGCCCTGCTCAGGAGAGACACTGGATCTCAGCGACACCCCAACACCTGTGTGTGTGCCCCAGCTGGGAGAGCTGGGGCTGGCACAGCTCATGTGTTGTGCAGGCTCTTACTATGGGCTGTGGCTGGGACGATGGGGTGTTCTGCGGGTTCAGCTGCGCGTTGGGCCCTGGCCCAGGCCCCGGTCCTGGCCCAGGCCCTGGCCCTGCCACTGGCTGCTGGTTGCCTGGGATCAGAGGAGGAACACTGGTCTGGCGATGCAGGATTTTCTAGGAGAGGAAAAAGGAGCTCTTTTCCACTGCCACTCCACAAAGACTACCATCAATATCCTCCCAACGCTGGAGGAGCAGCAAGGGACAAACCAGCGCAATCTCCGGGTCGACGATCCTCATGACCACCTGGGCCTGCAGCAGCGCGTAAGCCAGCTGTGGGTTCTGGAGCAGCATGTTCCTGGCTTCCTGGGGGCTGTTCTGGACACACAGCTGACAAGACAGGCACTGATCAAGCTCTGACAAGGTGCCACAGGGGCTGGGAGGGTGCGGGCAGTGGCGGGAGGAGCTGTGCTCACACTCACCTTCATCTGCTTCATCAGCTCAAACATCTGCTCGGGTGGCAGGCTGGCCACTGCCCGGCTGATGGACTCGGGGGCATCCTCTGGGTTGACAGGGTCCCCATAGGGTGACTCTATGATGGGTGCACCCGTGCCCAGGCCTGCAATACATTAGGTGACTTCGTACTGCAACACGAATGGTGTTTAATGGGCTCATCAGGAGGGGAGCACCAGCCCAGCAGGGGGAAAAGGAGGCAGTGAAAACTGGGAGATGTTAGGAGGAATTTCTTCACAGAAGGGGTGATCAGGAATCAGAAAAGGCTGCTCAGAGAGGCTGTGGAGGCACTGTTCCTGGAAGTGTTTAAGTAAAGACTGGATGTGGCATTTAGCGCTCCAGGCTAGTTGATACAGTGGTGTTTGGTGAAAGGTTGGACCGTGATCTTTAGACACCTTTTCCAACCTAAATAATTCCGTGGTTCTGTGATCATCTGGGAGCTAAAACATGGAGCTGAACCCATGCATCCCTCTGGGGAACTACTCACAACAGCTCTCAGAGCAGGCCGGCTCTGCCAGCCTGGCAGAAGAGACACTCCCCAGAGCACTGCCAAGGCCAGGCCCAGCGTGAGACCCCCAAACCCCGACTCACTCTTGAGCTCCTCCTTGTTCTTCTCGCTGGCGGCGTTGTCGACGCGCAGGGCCCTGCCGCTGAACTCGCGCCCGTTGAGGTTGCGCATGGCGCTGAGCGCCGTCTCCTGGTCCTGGTACTCGCAGAAGCCATAGCCCTTGGGCTTGCCCGTCTCCCTGTCGTACACCAGCCTGCACGGCGAGGAGAGCACCCCGCTGTGCCCACGGCTCCCACAGCTCCAGAGGGGATGCGGGGCTAGAGCCCGCAGGAGCGCCGCGAGCACGGTCAAGGCTCCCGAGTCAGCCCGAGGCACGCAGCAGCCGGGCCTGTGCCAAGGCCAAGGGGCCTGCTGGCTCCTGGCATGGGTGTTCCCAAAGCTGTGGGGCCACCAGTGCCAGCTCTGTGCCTGCCGTGACCCCACAAGGCACAGGACAGGACTGGCTCCTCCCGGAACTCCCAAAACCTTAACTGAGAGCTCTCCAGGGCCTGGTGCCAAGGCTGGAAAACCCCTCTGAGAGGGACAGGGACGGGAGTGAGGAGCACAGAGCCCGAGCAGGACCCGAGATGGGACATTAGGCAAAGGTTCCTCGCCAAAGCGGTTGTCCCGCATTAGAACAGGCAGCCCAAGGCAGTGGCGGAGTCACCATCCCTGGAAATGGTCAAAAGGTGTGTGCATGTGGCACTTGGAGACACGGTGGGCCTGGCAGTGCTGAGGGAACGGCCGGGCTGGATGCTTTTCCAGCTCCTTCCCAGCGTTATGGATTTACGATCGCACGGTTCCAGAGCTCCGCGCGGGGCTCGGTCTGCGCCGAGCCGGGGCACCCGGGGGACGCCAGCGGCCGCTCTCACCTAAAGCTGACCACGGGCCCAACCTCCGAGAAAATGTCCTTCAGCTGCTCCTCCGTGGCCTCATACGGGATGTTCCCCACTGCGGAGACAGACGGTGCCGCCGGTCAGCGCACGGCGAGAGGGGGAAACCCGCCGGCCCCCCGCCTGCCCCTGCCCGTCCCTGCCCCTTTCCCTTTGCAGATCGCGGTCCCGCGGCCTCACCGAACACGGAGCGCAGGGACCGATCCACGGCGGGGTCCCGCACCGACAGCCCCGCCATGGCACCGCCCGCGCCGCCTCCGGTCCGCGCGCAAACCGTCCCCGCTCGCGCTTCCGCTTCCGCTTCCGCAACACCGGGCCAGCGGCGCCCTGAGAACGCGCTCCGGCGGGAAACGCGGCACCGGCGGCAGCGGGGTGCGGGGGTCGGGACTCCCGGGGACCCCCGAGCGGGGCTGCTGCGGCCTCGGGGATCCCCCGGCACCGAGAGCCGGTCTCCGGGCAGCCCCGCGGCCTCGGGGATGCTTTTTCAGGCACCGGCGCCGAGGCACAGCCCCCGGCGAGCCTGACACCGCCTGGGGCTCGGCAGGATGGAGGCCACGGACGTCCCCATGCCTGTCCCCATGGGTGTCCCTGCGCTGGCCACGGAGCGGAGGTTCGCCCAGCGCCTCAGGTGAGGGGCGGTGGGAACGAGGGGGAATGGGAGCCCCGTGCTGCTCCCACAGGACGGTCACAGGGTCAGCCCTGCAGCACGAGGGTCTGCGGGGCTGGGAAGGGCCTGACCGTGCCCTGCCTCGCAGGGAATGTCTGGAAGAGGAGCGGCTCTCGGACGGGCGTTTCCAGCTGCAGCGGGTGCCAGGGGGCCGCGTGGCCCTGCCTGTGCTGGAGGAGAAGCTGTCCCAGCTCTGCCTGCCCCCGGAGATGCCCTGGGAGCTGGTCCGGATCCAGGTTGGCAGAGCTGCCTCGCCCTGAGCCCTGCGTGGGGCGGTGGCACCCAGCCCCATGTACCCCGTCCCTGCTGCAGGAGCCGGTGCCCTCCAGGGCCGCCCGCCGGTGCCCGCCTGCCCGGAGACTGCGGGATCAGCTGCGGCGGCTGCTGGGGACCAGCTGGTCGGAGGAGCTGGAGCGGGATGTGCCCCACGCCTGGCAGAGGCACGGCGACCTGGTGCTGCTGAGCGAGGACAGCTTCAAGGCTGCGCCCTGGGAGAGGCTGGGTAAGGGCGAGCAGGGCCTGCCCGCCCCGGTCCTGCCCGCCGAGCCGCCCGCATCCCCCAAATCTGCCGCCGTGGTGTGGTGCAGGCCCGGAGCTCTGGGAGACGGTCGCCTCGGCTTTGGGAGCCCGGCGGGTGGCCAGGAGAGGACGGGTGATGCCGGATGGGATGCGGACCCCCCGTGTCACCCTGCTGCTGGGCCAGCACGGCTGGGTGGAGCACGTGGACAACGGGATCAGGTGGGCAGGAGCTGCAGGATGCGGCTGCTGTGGGGAAGGGACTGCCCTCACCGGTGTGGGGTCTTCCAGGTACACCTTTGACGTGACCAAGTGCATGTTCTCCCCGGGGAACATCACGGAGAAGCTGCGTGTGGCCTCACTGCCCTGCTCCGGGGAGGTCCTGGTGGATCTCTATGCAGGTAACGGGGATGGAGGAAGGGCGGGGCAGGTGCTGATGGTAGACATCAAATGTCATTTCCAGCTTGGAATGAAAAATACTCAGGAGGATGGCCAAAGACTGGAAGTAAAACAAGGTCCTCTAAACATTTTTCAAGGCAGATTTTACTTTTGCAGAAGAGGGAAGGATAAATTTCCATTTTCCCAGTGTTTGGGCTTTTCCCAACCCAGAGCAGAGCAGACTTGGAAAGCCAGGGTGGCAGTGTGCATCCTGCCCTCAGGAGTGTGGATCTCTGGAGGTCCCTGCCCTCAGCCACTGCCACCTCCTGCCTGCAGGCATCGGCTATTTCACGCTGCCCTTCCTGGTGCACGCGGGAGCTGCCTTTGTCCATGCCTGTGAGTGGAACAGCCACGCCGTGGAGGCCCTGCACAGGACCCTGGTGCTGAACGGGGTGCGGGATCGCTGCCACATCCACGCCGGGGACAGCCGGAAGGTGAGCACTGCCGCCTGGCCGTGGAACCCCTCGCCGCTGGCATGCCCTCACCTCCTCTCTCCTCCCAGCTGCAGCTGCGGGATGTGGCAGACAGGGTGAACCTGGGGCTGATTCCCAGCTCGGAGGAAGGCTGGCCGGTGGCCTGCCGCGTCCTGAAGAAGAACACGGGTGGGGTTCTCCACATCCACCACAACGTGGAGACTCCCCACGCGCCGGCCCCGCCGCAGCCTGCGGTGCTGCTGGCTGAGCGCGGCTCTCCAGAGACAGCCAGCTCTGGGGGAGATGCACAGCAGCCAACAGAGGACGGTGGGGAGGAGACACTGGGGGCCAGGCTCAGACCCGAGTGGCAGGGGTGGGCCGAAGCCACGGCCACACGGATCCAGGGGCTGCTGGCAGAGCTGCACGGGCGGCCGTGGCGCACCAGCGTCCTGCACGTGGAGGCGGTGAAGTCCTACGCTCCACACGTGCATCACCTCGTGCTGGACCTCGAGTGCCGGCCAGTGCTGCCCGATTAGCAGGGCATGGACACCCCTGGAGCTCCAGCTCCCGTGGAAGGGTGGTGTCAAACACCAGGGGCAGGGAGATGCTACCAGCAGTGTCCTGCTGCCAGCCCAGATGAGCCTTATGTCCCCTGGTTCCCAGGTGGCAGCAGTGCCTGGCAGTGCCTCCCCATGCCCAGGGCACCCAGGGTTGTACTCCCATGGCAGATCCCTTCGGGATCCAGACAAGGATGGAGGAAGTTGGTGCTCAGAGTGCCAGTGTTCTGCCCTGGCTCTGCCAGTCACTGCCCAAGTCTTGGACATGTGGTAGCACCTTGAGCCCCATTTTCACACAGGAGAGAGCCGCAGTGCTGAGAAGCCTTGGGTTCCTGCTGAGTTCATTTCAGCAGGTCAGGGACAAGCATTGTGCTTGTGTTTCCCAGCATGCTTTTTTAATGTACTGTAAACAATTCTGTTCATCTCACTTTCTTCCTAGCTCTTTTTCAGAAATAAAGATCTTTCTCACCACCTCTTGCTGGTGTCCAGTTAAAATGTGAACACTGGTGCGAGTGTGGGGTCTGGCCTGGGGACTTTAGGCCCTAGGGTGGTGTGTGGAGGAGCTCAGGGAGCAAAGCCTCTGTGGCATTGTCTGCCTGCAAGCCCAAAGCCCTCTACGTATTTATTGTGTACTCCCCTTCCCCATGAAGAAGCTCCCGCTGGCCCTTTGATGTCTCTGTGTTTTTTTCCACTGTGTCAGTGTCCCATCGCTTCCCACAGGGCTGGGAGCCTCTGGCTCTCCCGTCCCTGGGGTGCGGCCGAAAGTGTGGGCAGAGCCGCGTCCTCTCGTTTGCCTTGGGGCTGCACCCAGGTGTCCTGCGTGGCGAGAAACCAGCTCCCCACGGGTGGAGCCCCGCGCCTCGTCCTGCCCGTGTGCTCGGGGCTCCCTGTGCTGCGGGGGGGCGAGCCGCCCGGCGGGGACCGTATCTCTGCTACGAAGGCCAAGGGCAGCGGCTGGAGCCCGGCGGCGGGAGGACACCACGGCCCTGGGGATGCGGGGGGTCCCCCGCGGGTCAGGCGTCGGTGAGCTCCGTGCTCTTCGGGAGAAGCTGCCCGCCCGTCAGGGCCGTGTGGCACCGGGCCCCGCGGGGTGCAGCGGCCGCTGTGCCGGGGGCGATGGGGCGGGGGAAGGGGCTGGAGGCTGCGGGCACCGCCTCCCGCAGGGGCCGCCCCGTCCGTGCCGCAGGTTCGCCCGGCGCGGCTCCTTTAAGGCACCGGCACCGCCCTCGCTCCCCTCGCTCCCCTCCCGCTGCCGGGGCCGATGGCCGGAGCCGCTGCAGGTACCGGCCGGATCGTGGGACCGGGCGGCGCTTCGCTGGCGGGGGTACCGACGGTTCGTCCGCGGACGGGGGAGGACGGGGATCCCTCGGCTGGTGGGGACGCGGGGGGAGCCAGGGGTCGCTCCGTGGTCCGAGGGTCGAGCCGCGGTGTCCCGGGGCGGGGGCAGTTCTCAGCCCCGGCGGTGCCACCGGTCCCGGCCCCCCTTTCCCCGATAGAGAGAAGCCTGGGCTCCGTCCCGCCGCCCCCTCCTCCCCGAGGGACGCCGGAGCGCGGCTGCGGGACGGGCAGGAGCGGGGAGCGGCTGCAGCCCCCGAGCAGGCGCTCCGGCTCCGTCCAGGCTGGAGCGGCCCCCGGGTCCCGGTGCTGCGAGCCGGCTCCTGTCCCAGCCGCGGGGCCGCTCCCGGCGGATCCTCGGGCTCGGGCAGCTCCGAGCCCCGGTGCGTTCGTGGGAGGGGCAGCCCGGGGCGGCTCCTTCCTGCCGGGGCTGCCCGCGGGTGCTGCGCGTCAGCCCGGTCCCACGGAGCCGGCTGAGGTCACCGGGGCGGCGGGGCTGGCAGGCGGCCCGAGCCCAGCCCGGGGCAGGGCGCTGCAGACGGCGGGCGAGCCGCTGTCCCGGCTGCCGCCATCCCGGGCAGCCCCGGGAACGGGCACGGGGTACCTGGCGGGGCGAGAGCCGGGCTCAGCAGCTGGCACGTCCCTAGCTGGAATCCGGGGAGGGCCAGCCGGCCCGGGTGCAGCGATGTCGGAGGCTGTGGATCTGTCCTTCCTGTCGGACGCGGAGAGAGATTTGATCCTGCAGGTCCTGCAGCGCGACGAGGAGCTCCGCAAAGCCGAGGAGAGGAGGATCAGGTGCGAATGCGGCAGGAGCTGGCTCCCCGCTTTGCTCTGAAGCGGGTGGGTGCGGGACAGTGCGGCTGTACCCGGGGTCCCGGGGCGCCTGTGACAGCTCCTGGTGTCGGCTCTGAGCAGGCGCCTCAAGAATGAGCTGCTGGAGATCCGGCGCAAGGGAGCCAAGCGGGGCAGCCAGCGCTACAGCGAGCGGACCTGCGCCCGCTGCCAGCAGAGCCTGGGCCGAGTCAGCCCCAAGGCCAACACTTGCCGGGGCTGCAACCACTTGGTGTGTCGGGACTGCCGCTCCTGCAGCCCCAGCGGCTCCTGGCGCTGCAAAGTCTGCACCAAGGAGGCGTGAGTAGCCGGGACAAGTGGCGGGCACATTCTGTGCATGTCTCCTGTCCCCTTCCTCTTCTCAGCTGCCTCAGTTCGATGCCCCACGGCCAGCCTTTCCTAGCCTGGCTGGTCCTCTCCAGTGCAGGGCAGCTTGCTCCGATGTCACTCCTGGAGAGAGTTCCCATGTTTGGATGATGGAGAAATGGGTCATATCCCACTCCTGAGTCTCCTTCATGTCCACCCTGCTCCTTCACCCCCCTGACTTGACTGCAGCATCCCCTTGTGCCCCTTGCACTGTGTTTCAAGCATCCCAGGTTTCCTCCCTTTTGGCCTTCCCTTTCTTACGAAACTTGGCTTGTTCCCATGTTTGCTGAGGATGTAGCTGAGCCTGCCAAGTGCCCAGTGAATTGTCTCTGCCCTGTCACCTGCTGATTTTGCCCATTGTACCTGTGTCCTTGGGTTGTGGCAGCACGGAGGGTGGGTTGGGGCACAGCAAACATCCCCTGACTGCCCCCACCACCCCCTGCCCTGCAGGGAGCTGAAGAAGACGACGGGTGACTGGTTCTACGACCAGAGGGTGAACCGCTTTGCCAACCACCTGGGCAGTGACATGGTGCGGCTGTCCCTGCGGCACAGGCCGGCAGGTAGGGGTGCCACAGCAATGCCGTGTCCCACAGCCCAGCCATCTGGGATGCTCCAGCTTTCCCCAGTGCACCCTGCCCAGCGTGGAGCTGGATGGGAACAGCTCCTGCTCCAGGCAATGAGCTTGGAGCAGTGTTCCTCCTGATGCCTCTCTCCTTCCAGCCAACAAAAGAGAGACTGTGGGACAAACCCTCCTCCAGAAAGCCCAGCTCAGCGAGCCTAAAAGCTCCTCTGCAGTCCGGCAGCCGAGCCCCCCTGCACCCCGGGAGGGGTCCAGGTAAGATTTCCTGCTGTCCCCCATGCTCCAGGCACCAGCTCCCATCTGCTGCGGGTTTGAGAGGAATCTGCTGCCCCGCGCGGATCATCGGTGGTGCAGAAGCTCTCTCAGACCGGCCTCCTCGCCAAACAGGACATACCTGTGGTTTTCTTGTCTGCAGTTTGTTTCCAGATGCCTCAGACCCTCGGGATGGTAAAAGCGACACAGAGTCCATGGAAAACATGAGCCTGGACAGCTACAGACCTAGTCCTGCTGATGTGGGGGGCAGGTGAGAGGATCCTGAGGTGGGTTGTCCTTGGCAAGACTGGCTGGCAGAGGAGGGGACCTTCATCTGAAGTGTGTTTTTCTCAGTCTAGCAAGAGGAAGCTGGCTCCTCTGGCTGGGCTGAAGCCTGTCCCTGGGCAGCAAGGTCCTCTGTGCCCAGGCTGCTACGGGCAGCTCAGATCACACTTCTGGCCAGCACTTGCTCTGCACGCTGTGCTTGTGGCCTGGGACAGACCTTTCTGTGTCTGCCACAGGAGGAACTCCCTGGAGAGAGCTGTCCCTGGAAAACAGGTTGTTGTGCCAGCAGGACCTGCTTCCTCCAGCCTGACGCTCCCTCTCCGCTCCAAAAACGCGTTCTCTGACGGACGGGTGCGTGACGCTGCTCCAGCAGGCTCAGCCCTGTCCTGGGGCGTGGGGCTGGGCACTCCACATGGCTCCTAGCCCTGCCCTGCTCTGAAGGGACTCTTCCTCCCCAGGATGCCACCGTGGGGACCCACAGCAGCACCTGTGAGCATGAAACCATATTCAAGAAGAACCCCCAGCGGGTGGTGAGGCCTGCGGGTGAGAGATGTGCGGGTGCTGACACGGCTGGGGTGGGCAGCCCCTCCTCCCTGGGCTGTGAAGGGCTTTCAGTGCAGATGGGAGAGGCTGGGGGAGCCCCTTGTGTGAGGGAGCAGCAGGGCTCTGCTAATCCTGCTCATGCCACTGCCTCCTGCTCACCACCTCTCGTGCAGACTACACCAAGTCTGTGATCGACCTGCGCCCTGAGGACCTTGTGGGGGAAGGTGGCTCTTTGGGGGACAGGAGCAAGTCAGTCCCTGGCCTCAACACGGAGCTGGTGAGACCCTCAGAGTGCCACAGAGATGGCTGCTGGGTGGAGGAGCCGAGTGGTTGGGTTGGCTGTGCCTGAGCACTCCCCACACAGGTGGTTTGTCTCTCTCCTTCAGGAGGAGGAGGAGGAGGACATCGATAACCTGGTGGAGATCCACCGGCAGCGGGTGGCCCGGGGCAGCATGCGCAGCGGCACCTCCTCGGTGAGTTCCTGTGGCTGTGCTCCGCTCCTCTGCAGGGAGAAGTGATGGAGAAAGGCACTGCCAAAGGGCTGGGGGGAGGGAGGCAGGGCAGGCAGCTCCTGGAGGGAAGGGGTAAGAGCCTTGTGTGGGGGGGCTTCTTCCCCTAGGAGGGAATCAAAATGCAAAGACTCATCTCTCTTCCAGGCAGCTGTGTGTGGGTGGGAGGTACTTGTGGCCATCCCCAGCCACGGGGAGGCAGGTGGGGCTGTGCAGAAGAGGCACAGGGAATAACCTTGCTGAAGAGGGGCTCTCGGGTGATCTTGTGCCAGCTCAGCCCTGCCACTTCTTCCAGAGCACACTGGGGAGCATGGTCAGCATTTACAGCGAGGCCGGCGACTTCGGCAGCGTGGCTGTCACTGGGGGCATCTCCTTCTCCCTGAGCTACGAGCAGAAGACACAGACCTTGTTCATTCACGTGAAGGAGTGTCGCCAGCTGGCCTACGGCGACGAGGGCAGGAAGCGCTCCAACCCGTGAGAGCAGGGGGAGAGAGCTGCTGGCACCACTGGTGGTGCCCAGCCGGGTTGTGGGGTCCCACCAGAGATGGGAGCTGTAAGTGGGAGGGTCCTGCTGAGGCAGAAGGTCTGGGGTTGCCCTGAGGAGCTCGGAGGATTGATTGTGGGGAGGCCCTGTTGAAGTGCTGCCTGTTCTCCCTTCAGGTATGTGAAGACCTATCTCCTGCCCGACAAATCCCGGCAAGGGAAGCGCAAGACGACCATCAAACGCAATACCATCAATCCCCTGTACAACGAGCTGCTGAAGGTGAGTGGGGATGGGCTGGGCTGCAGCTACTCAGGGGATGCTGCTGGAACAAGCAAGGGGAGGGGTGAGCTCCTAACGCTGCAGAGGGGTCTTTGCAGAGGACCCATGTCCAGAGACTGCAGCCTGAAATCCCTGCACTCCCAGCTCTGCTGTGGCCGTGCTGCCAAGCCCCAGTGCCACGGTGGGCTGGAGGCACAGCTGCAGATGTGACCGTGTCACAGGACGTGTCCCTGGTTCCTGTAGCGCTCCCCAGAGCAAAGGCATCCTGCTTACCCTGGATGTTTCATTCTTCAGGCTTCCTGGCCCCTGGAGGCAGGTCACAGTGGCAGGAGGGAGGGCGGCACACCACAGGGGCAGAGATAAGACAGTTCTGGGCTCCAGGACAGAACAACTTGGCACTGCCCTTCACCATCCCTGCTGGCTGGCTCTGTCCCTGAGCCTGGCAGAGCACCTCTGAGGCCAGGCACTCTTGTGCAGGAGGAAGTGAGAGCTGTGGTTTGGTTTTTAGGCTCCCACAGCCAGGTTTGCTGAGGTCTTGTGCTCTGACCACCTGAGGCTTGGTGGGCTGGCAGAGCTCTGCTTGTGGTGGGATGGCTGGATGAGTCCTGGCTCTGAAGACCATCCTTCTGCTGGGAGAGCACAGGCTCCTGCTCTCTGCCCTGGGACTCTGAGCTTTCAGCAGGCGTGGAAAGAAAGAGGAGCTCCTGTGCACATCCGTTGCTTCTCCAGCCTGTCTCCTCTTGTGCTTGTGAGCTGTAGCTGATGGAATTTGCCATTTGTCCTGTGCTGCCTGCCCACCAGTGGTTTTCCTCTGTCTCCCCAGTATGAGATTAGCAAGTCCCTCCTGCTCGCGAGGACGCTGCAGTTCTCGGTGTGGCACCACGATCGCTTTGGCCGCAACACCTTCCTGGGGGAGGTGGAGGTCCCACTGGATGCCTGGAACTTCGAGAGCCACCTGGAGGAGTTCCTGCCCCTGCATGGCAAGGTGTGTCCCTGCCCCTGCAGCCTCCCTTGCCTGGTCCTGTTGGGGATATAGCCCTCAGTAGGCAGAGGGGTGTGGAGACCTCAGCATTGCTCAAAGGGACTTGTGCCAGTGTTTGGAGATATGAAAACCCCAGATGCAGACAGCAGTGCTGTTGCAGTAAAAAGGTCAGGCAGATCTTCTGCCTTGAACCTAGCTTCCCTCCTCCTTCCCTCCTCCTTGTCAGGTGATTGGGCCAAAATGAGATCCCAAAGGAGCTGGGCTCCACTGGTCATGCTGGGGAGAGTTTGCAGGCACTTGTGCCAGCTCAGCCACATCTAGAAGAAGCCAAGTCCTTTGTCCCAGCCTGAGGAGGTGCTGCACACCAGGCTGTCACTGTGTGTGCCATGGCTTCTCTGCAGTGCTTGGTAATTCTCACCTCTGTGCAGGTTGGGGCAGATGCTGCTGGTCTTCACCAGTACAAGGGGGAGCTGGTTGTCTCCATGAAGTACATCCCATCTGCCAAGCATCCTGGGGCTGGGAATGGCAGGAAAGGTAGGTGCTGAAGCTCCAGGATCAGTGTGTAGCCCTGCAGGAGCTACAGTTTGCAGTGGTAAAAATTAAATTGATTAATTTCTACTGTGCTGGGTTTTTCCTAGGCAAAACAGGGGAAGGTGGTGAGCTCCAGGTCTGGATCAAGGAAGCCAAGAACCTCACAGCAGCCAAGTCAGGGGGGACCTCAGACAGCTTTGTTAAGGGGTGAGTGAGGGTCCTGGGGCAGGGGGCGATGAAGGCACTGTCCTCCCTGGCTGTATTCCCAAAGCTGCTGGGGGACCTGGAGAAGGAACCCTTGCAGGGTGTCATGGTCCCTCTCCCTGAGCTGTGCCAGGAAAGGCAGGAAGGGGGGCTCCAGGCCAGGTCCTGGGTGCTGAGGTGCCCCAGCCCCCCGAGCTGGTGCCCACGTGCTGCTAACCCAAGGGGCTGCTTCCCCCAGCTACCTCCTGCCACACAAAAACAAAGCCTCCAAGAGGAAGACGCCTGTGGTGAAGAAGACCCTGAACCCTCATTACAACCACACCTTTGTCTACAACGGTGTGAACCCCGAGGACCTGCAGCACATCTGCCTGGAGCTGACGGTCTGGGACCGGGAGCCGCTGTCCAGCAACGATTTCCTCGGGGGTGTCCGTCTGGGGGTGGGCAATGGTGAGGAGCCCACCGAGCTCTGGGCAGCAGCAGCAGCCTCGCTGGGGCTGCTGTGCTGCGGGCAGGAGGCTGCTCCAGCAGTGACTGATCCCATCCTTTTCCCCAGGCATGAGCAACGGGCAGGCTGTGGACTGGATGGACTCGACGGGCGAGGAGCTGAACCTGTGGCAGAAGATGTGCCAGTACCCGGGCTCCTGGGCGGAGGGGACGCTCCAGCTCCGCTCCACCATGGCCAAGCTGAGGCTGTAGGCTGTGGCACCAGCACTGGCACTGCTGTCGGGAACCACACTTGTGTACAGCCTGGCAAGGCTGCCAAATACGCACCGTGTTTTCTTTTTACTTACACTTTAATAAACATGACCTTCTCTAAACAGGCTTGGGCAGAAAGTCTTCTTGGTTTAGCTTCATTAAAAGGGTTTTTCTCTTGTCATAATCCTTGTACCAAATTTCAGGCTGAACTGGAGTCCCTGTGGACCCTCCCTTCTTCTCCCCCAGGCAAAATGCTTTGAAACGTCATTGTGTTTTTATTTCTTCCCATTCTTTTTCCTACCACCCTGTTCCATGGTCTGCTCTCTCCTTTCCACCCTCTTCCCCCTACACAGCCCAGCCCCAGCTGTGGCACTGGATGGATGGAACTGTGTGGGGTCAGCCTGGGAGGGTTGGGGATTGTGGTCTCCAGGAAACATTTGTTTCCCAGGCCTCTCAGTGACACATGTGCTAACACTTACTTTTTATACAAATTTATTTATTTCAAGTTAATATTCTACTGCCAAAGCAGCTCCTAGAAAGGGTTCCCCGTGGGTGGTGGGAGAGGGAGGCAGTGGCAGGGGACACTGGAGGGGGGACTGCATGCTGGCTGGCTGCTGTGGCCTCTGCTGAGTGTGGGACCATTTGCTTTTTAATAAGGACTTTCAGAGTGGGAGGCATCGGGTCCAGGTTGTGCCCAGGGTGAGCCGTGGGGAGGCTGAAGCTGCTGTGTTAGAGACTGTCACACTGCTGGCTGGCCTGCCCTCCCTGCCCTGCCACTCTCCCCTGGCTCCCCGTCTCCCCCTGCCCTGGGATCTGAGCAGGGACGCTCCAGTGTCTCCAGCCAGGGTCCTGACCCATCCCCAGCTGGAAACAGCTCCTGGCTGCTGGGCAGGGGGACACTGCCGGCACACGGTCCTGGCTCACCTCTGTGCGCCACAATGGCCAGAGAGGGGCTCCCCTGCCCCGGAGCTCCTTGGCCCCCTGCTCCTCCTCTACGGTGGCGACTAGAAAAGCAGAAAGGAAAGGTCCATCCCCGCGGGGCAGGGCGGGGGTCTCCCCGGGGCTGGCTCACTCGCAGGGGTCCCCGCTCTGTGCCCGCCTGGCCGCCTCACGCTCGCTCAGCAGGTAGGTGTCGATGAAGACGAAGAGCTCGTCGGGGCTGACCGGGGAGATGTAGCGCTCGCGGTCGGTGCCCGCCTTGTCCAGCAGCACCGCGTTGAAGTGGGAGCGTGTGAGGTGCAGGAAGCGCCTGCAGGTGCAAGGGGGGCTCGCTCTGAGGGCTGAGCCTGCCCACCTCTTGCAACATGCTCAGATCCTCCTGGAATAGGGGCTCCCACCTCTTCCTGGGGCTGCGAGCTCTGGGAAGCTCTGGTGACACTTGCAGGGGGCTCCCCCACTGCACCAGCCCCTCCGGTGCAGCAGAAAGGGGCTCCTCATCAACCCAGCTGCAACCTCATGCTTCGCCATTCCCAGAGTCATTCCCATTCCCTGTCCCCTGGCATAGCCGCCCGGCTCTGCAGGACAGCCCCATCTCCGCTACCTGAGCTCCTCGATGATGCCAAGGGACAGCCGGTGCTCCCGGATCCGTCCCACCTCGTGCGGGGGCTGCCCCAGCAGCTCCACGGTGGTGATGTGGCGCAGGTCCAGGCCACAGGCAGCTTGCTGCGGACGGGGGGGACAGTGAGGGGGTGCTGGAGGTGGGGAGGGGGCATCTGGAAGGTCTCCTCACCTGCAGCATGGAGATCTGCATCTTGTAGTAGCGGTTAGAGGGGTCCGGGGCCGAGATGACAAAGAGTCGGCGTTTCTCGTGGAACTGATCCAGCAGGCTGGCGGCCGAGCTCACATCTGTGTTGATCTGCATGGCTGGGGCAAGACACAGGCGTGTGGGGAGGTGCCATCGTGCCCCCCGTCACCCCTTTGACCCATCAGGCAGCGTTCCCCAGAGCTCTGGGCACTGCCATGGGCAAGCCCTGCCCTGCCCGCAGCACTTACGAGCACACAGGGGCTGGGAGCCCGTCCACTGCTGGGTGGACTGGCACACCCGCAGGGAGGTGCCCTGGCGCTCGTAGCCCCCGTCGCACAGGTACTCGCAGGTGGCACCGTAGTTGTTGCCGTCGGAGGTGCAGGAGATGTACCCGTTCTGCGGCGGCTTCAGGACGGGGCAGCGCCTCACTGCAGAGAGGGGAGCCGGCTGAGGGCTGGGGGTGCTGGAGCACAGCCCCGGCCGTGGCTGTGGAGCTGGGGGCAGCAGCGAGCGGCCCCACGGGAGCCCGCTCACCCTGGACGCGGATGCTGAACTTGCAGCTGGCTCGGTTGTAAGCCTGGTCGTGGGCGGTGTAGCGGATCACATGCTCTCCCTCAGGGAATTCGGAGCCGGGCTCCGGGCCCCGCAGCATCACCCTGAGCCGACAGACGGCATTCTCCATCAGCATCCCGGGCAGGGCCACCGGCACGGCCTCCAGCCCTGGCTGGCAGCGCCTGCTCTGCCCTCACCTCTTGATGACACCGTCAGCAGAGTCCCTGACGCGGGGAGGGTCCCAGTAGACGGTGGCAGTCAGCTTGCCCGGCTCTGCAATGCGCTCCCGGGAGTCTGGACAGCGGATCTTGGGAGGCTCCAGATCTGTCCGGAGGAAGGAGAGGGATTCACGGAACCTGTGGATGCCTTGGCTGAGCTGTGAGAGCGAGGCCCGGTGCTGAACGACCCCGGGGACCCCGGAGCCTCCCGGACATGCTGTAAAGCCGGCGCTGAGTGCCCCAGCCCCGGGCTGGTGCCTGTGCTCCGGGGCTAATGGCACTGCGGGGAGCAGCAGGGACAGGCTGCCAAGGGAGGGAGGCGCAGGAAATGTCCGGGTTGGATGTGGGGTGACACCTGCAGACACCCCAGTTGTGGGTGACGGGCCCCTGCGTGCCCCAGCAGCGTGGGGTGAGAATTTACCTACACAGACTGGCTCGCTCCCGCTCCAGCGACCATCCTCCATGCAGACGCGGCTCCGGTCCCCCTCCAGCTGGTAGCCGGGCAGGCAGGTGTAGTCACATCGGGAATCCATCTGCACGCCCGCCGAGCACACGTAGGAGCCCCGCAGCACCGCTGGCAGCACGTGGCACCGGATTTCTGGGATGGAGAGAGCGAACAGGGGAGGGAAGCGGCTGCGGCCCTGGGAGTGGGCACAGCCGCCGGGGCTGGCTGGCTGTGGGGCTGGCTGGCTGTGGGGCAGGCTGTGGGGCTGGCTGTGGGGCTGTCTGGCTGTGGGGCTGGCTGGCTGTGGGGCTGGCTGTGGGGCAGGCTGTGGAGCAGGCTGTGGGGCTGGCTGTGGGGCGGGCTGGCTGTGGGGCTGGCTGTGGGGCAGGGGCTCACTCACGCCGGCAGTATGGCATCCCGGACCAGTGGCGGCTGGGCAGGCACTGCACGGTGCTGGGTCCCTGCAGGCGGTAGCCGCGGGCACAGCTCAGCTCGCAGCGCGTCCCCAGGCTGCTGCGGTACGAGCTGCCCCGGGGCGAGTAGCAGGCGGCCTCTCCGCGGTGGATGATGAGCGTGGCGCACCACTGGGGCACTGCGGGAGAGCAGAGGGGTGAGGGAGGAATCTGCCGTGCCTCGGTTTCCCCGTGAGGACCCTAAGGACGGGTTGGGCGCCGTTACCCCGACGGTAATCCAGGGCAGGCTCAGGGGCGGCTTCTTCTGCGTACACCTCGTTGGTGCGGCTCTCCAGGTAGTAGCCAGACCCTGGGGAGGAAGGAAGAGACAAGAAGGCTGCAGGGTAGCTCATGGCTGCAAAACGCCCCGCAGCTCCCAGCAAGCAGTGGCAGGCCCGGGCAGAGCCTGTCCTTGGGGCTGCGGGCAAGGGTTAAAGCGGGCAGAGCGCGGTCCCCAGGGACACGATGTGCGCTGGCTCCAGCCGCAGACTAAACAGCGGCAGCAGCAGCCGGGGCTGTGGCAGGAAACGGGAGCTGGCACCGAGTGGGCTGGCACTGACCCCCAGCTCCGTGCTGCCGGGAAGTCCTTCCACCCGCTCCCATGGCACCGCCACTGCCACGGGGCATCCCAAGGGAAGGAGGAGAGCTGCCCTTTCTTGCCCTTTCCTGCCCTTTCCTGCCCTTTCCTGCCCATGCCCTCACCAAGGCAAGGGATGCCCAGCTGCCCGGCCGGGGGTGGTGGGGGTGCAGCCCCTGGCCCGTGCTCCAGGGAAGGATGAAGCTGCTGAAGGGGCTTGCCCGGAGATGCTGGCCCCTCGCCACCCGTGCTGCGCAGCGGGGCCCCGCAATGGGGTGAGCACAGCCTGCGCCATCCTTGCGGGCCTTTATGGGCCAGGTACTCTCCGGTGGGGAGGGAGCCGCGCAGGGGGAGAGGCCTGGCGTCATTCCCCGTGTCCCCTCGGCGCCTCGGCCGGCCGCGGCATTCCCCAGCACTGAGCTCACGTTTCCGCCGCGTTTCCGCTGCCCCCGCCAGCGCTGCCCCCTCCTCTCGGCCAGCCCACCCCCCCCGCGCTCCCCTCCGGCGTGCCGGGGATGCTCGGCCTCGGGGGGACCCCAGGAAAGGCCGCAGCCCCGCCGTGGCTGCACCCAGTCTCCCCTTGTCTCTGCTCTGGGTTTTGGGAGGGGGATATCCGCCGGGGCCAGTCCGAGCAGGAGCCCCGCCGTCACGGGGAGGAAACTCCATTACGAATCTTTTTTCAAAATGAACTTTACTACGGAGCGGCTCCCCGCCGCTTCCCACAAGTCGTTTTCACAATGCATTTGTCCTGCTGCCTTTTCACGCTGCCGGGGATCCTCGGGGAGCAGAGGAGCAGGGACTGTCTCCATGGGGGCGGCAGTGGGGATGCGTCCGTGACCGGTAGAACAAAGCTGTTTCCCGGGGGGCTGCCAAGACTGCCGCCGGGGCCCTGGGGACAGAGCGCACCGTGTCCCCGCAGGCAGATGTGCCATTTAACGGTGATGTTTCCTTCTACTGCAACTGCTGCCTTTTCCTTCTCACCTGGGGCCAGCTCAGCCCCGGCTGCGCTGGGCAGGAGCATCCCCAGGCGTGCTGGCAGCACGGCCAGGGGAGGGGATGGAAGCAGGGGAACTTCCAAGCCCCAAACAAGGCCTGTGACCAGCGGTTGGGGCTGTGTGCTCCGTCCAGCAAACATCTGCGGGCCGACGGTCCCCGTGGGGGCCAGGAGTCAGCCCGAACCGGCGCTGCCGCAGGCGGGGCAGGGAGGAAGAGAGGCTGCTTTTCTGCTGCTTCATGGATGCCTGCCAGCATCCCCTCCATCGCTCCCTGTGCCCACAGCTCACCCCCACCTCAGGCACGGATGCTCTCCCGGCATGGCTGTACCCGGGCACGCTCCATCCCTCCCCACCAGGTTCCTGAGGAGGAGCAGAACGGCAGAGCTGCCGCCCCCGGAGCTCCGCACACCCCGCACACCCCCGGAGCTCCGCACACCACCGCACACCCCCGCACACCCCGCACTCACCTTCGTGCCACGTGGATGACACCAGCCTGGCAAGGACAACCAGCAGGACGGGGGCTGCCTCCTGTGCCATCCTGGGGGGCTGCGGTGGGCAGCTCGCCTGCCGGGCTGGGGCCGGGAGCAGCCGCGAGCCCTGGCGAGGATGGAGAGGAGCTGGAGGCAGGATGACGGCCCCCCCTGTCGCCTTGTAACTGCACAGATGTCTGTCCCTCCTGCCTGGCCGCTCTGCTTGTGCTGAGCAAACTTACTTTCCCCCTTGGCTGCCCATCCCAAACATTCAAAAGCCGTGAGTCAGGCCCAAAATGATGAGATTGTAAAAAATAATAAATCCCAGGATCGCCCGTTTTCCAACGCGCCTCCTGCTTCTCCGGGGCTTTAAAAGGTTGTAAGAGGATTTCTCCTGCGAGAAGAAGAGCCAGGAGCCTGTTTAGACACAGGAGAGAGCCAAGCCGAGCCTGTGCCAGCCCTGACGGGCTCCGAGAACGGGGGGCCTGCAGGGACGAGCACAAAAGCGCAGGAGCCAGGTCCCCTTTCCAGCCTCCTGCCAGGAGGGAGGGAGAGACCCCGCTGCAGACGGGAGGCTCCGGAGCCGCTCCGGAGGCAGGCGCTTGCAGCTGGGGTCTGTTCCCTGCCGAAGCTCGGCCCCCGAGAGGCAGAGGGACCGCAGAGCCCTCGTGAGGAGCCCGCGGGGTCGGGCGGGAGGCAGGACAGGAGCTGGAACCACCGGGGATTTGGGCTCCGGAGCACGGGGCCACGAGGGCAAGGGAGAGCGGGGGGTGAGCCGGGCACGGACAGGTAGGAGCGCTCGAGTGGGGTGTGCGAAGGGGGGACGTGCTGCTGTCTCAAAGGGTTAATTATGTGGCGGCCAGGCTGGTGAATGCGCTAATTAATAATACGCTGTCCTGGGCAGGAGAGGGCAGGCGGGAGGCCCCGCTCCGAGTGTGGGGAGCCCGCAGCAGCCCGGGGACACCCCCGGGAGGGCTCAGGACACCCCCGGGAGGGCTCAGGACACCCCCGGGAGGGCTCAGCCCCGGGACACCCCCGGGAGGGCTCAGGGACACCCCCGGGAGGACTCAGGACACCCCCGGGAGGGCTCAGGACACCCCCGGGAGGGCTCAGCCCCGGGACACCCCCGGGAGGGCTCGGGGACACCCCCGGGAGGGCTCAGGACACCCCCGGGAGGGCTCAGGACACCCCCGGGAGGGCTCAGCCCCGGGACACCCCCGGGAGGGCTCAGGGACACCCCCGGGAGGACTCAGGACACCCCCGGGAGGGCTCAGGACACCCCCGGGAGGGCTCAGCCCCGGGACACCCCCGGGAGGGCTCGGGGACACCCCCGGGAGGGCTCAGGGACACCCCCGGGAGGGCTCAGGACCCCCCCGGGAGGGCTCAGCCCTGGGACACCCCCGGGAGGCTGAGCTCGGGGACACCCCCGGGAGGTTCAGCCCGCCCGGGGCACGAAGGCCGGCGTTGTTGGCGTGCTGGTGGTGCCGTGTGCCGGTGCGGGGTGGCTGGCTGTCCCGCTGGACACCTGCACAGGGCTGCAGCAGGACAGCAGGGACTGCTGGCACCGCGCAGGAGGGACACGGTGGCAGCGGGTGGCACCGGGAGGCAGGGATTGATGGCACGGGTCGGGCAGGGGGTGGCACAGGTAGCACGGGGAGGTGGCAGCGGGTGGCGCCAAGCAGGTAAGAGGTGGCATGGGACAAGCAGGGGGTGACACTGACAGGCGGTGGCACAGGGGAGGCAGTGGGTGGCACTGGAGAGAAGGTGGCACAGGCTAAGCAGGGAGTGGCCCCGGACAGGGGGTGTCACAGCACAAGGGGTGTCACAGCACAGCACAGGGGTGTCACAGCACAGGGGTGTCACAGCACAGGGGTGTCACAGGACAGGGGGTGTC